CGCCTGGGTGGCTCAGTTGGTTAAGCGACTGCCTTTGGCTCAGGTCATGATCCTGGAGTCCCGGGATCGAGTCCCACATCGGGCTCCCTGCTCGGCGGGGGGCTGCTTCTCCCTCTGACCCTCTTCCCTCTCTTGCTATCTGTCTCTCATTCTCTCTCTCTCAAATAAATAAATATAATCTTTAAAAAAATGATATTAAAAGGGAGACAAGGGAAGTAACAATGTCTTGATGAAGGGCATAAACTCTGAAGCCAGAATATGGGGGTTTGAATTCTGTGTCCCACCAGCTGTGTGGCGTCGGGCAAACCAATCGACCTCTCTGTGCCTCCTCAGTTTTTTATCCATAAAATGGGGGTAGTAAGAATCGGTACCTCATAAGCTTGTCGGGAGCACGTAAGAAGTACTTGAACTCACGACCCCGAGATCAAGAGTTGCATGCTCCTAAATAAAAAAATTCTTAAAAACAATTTTAAAAGGGCTCTGGGGTGGCTCAGTCGTTAAGCGTCTGCCTTCGGCTCAGGTCATGATCCCGGGGTCCTGGGATCGAGCCCCGCATCGGGCTCCCTGCTCGGTGGGGAACCTGCTTCTCTCCCTCTCCCACTCCCCCTGCTTGTGTTCCCTCTCTCGCTGTGTCTCTCAGTCAAATAAATTAAAAAAAAAAATTCTTAAAGAGTCGCATGCTCCACCGACTGAGCCGGCCAGGCCCACCTGCCGTTATTGTTACGATACACAGCGACAGAGGCGAGACGGGCATTGTGTGCCCAGAGGAGGGGCTGCTTCGTTCCGCACGCAGTAAGCCCGTGGTAGTGACGTCACTGTTCGGTGATGACGTCAGCTCCCCACCAGGAGGAGGGTGGGCGTGGAATTAGTGATGTCACTGGTTGCCAGGCAGATGAGCTCAGGGCGTGGGCGCCTGGAGGCGGTCAGTTCCCATTAGACAGACTGGAGGCTAAGTGCCTGGGTCTTGGCGCTCTCCGCCGCTCTCCTCGACTCGCTGAGCCTCAGTTTCCTTATCTATCCCATGAGGATAACGGTCATCTCTACCTCAGGGTTTTCATCCTACCTGAGGATTAAAAGGGATAATCTAGGGGCGCCTGGGTGGCTCCGTCGGTTAAGCGTCTGCTTTCGGCTCAGGTCATGATCCCGGGGTCCTGGGATCGAGCCCCACATGGCCTGCTTCTCCCTCTGCTTGCCGCTCTCCCTGCTTGTGCTCTCTCCTCTGTCAAATAAATAAAATCTTTAAAAAAGAAAACTAAAAGGGATAATCTAGGTTAGGTGCCTGGCTCCTGGTAAACACCAGGGAAGCCGAAGCTCCCTTTGGTGGGCAGCGCTGTTTGGGTCTTTGATCTGACAGCCACTTGGGGAGATGTCCTCCCCAGTTGACAGGAAAGGAGAAGGGAGAGGCCAAAAGGGAAAAGATCCTGTGCCCTTCAGGAGCCCCTGAAATATTCACTGATGGCGTGAATGAATAAATAGGAGGGTGGCC